TTTTCTTTTCACCTTTTTCAATAATTCTAAGTAAGTTCACTTTTTCTGCAAGTGATAATGTTGTTAATTTTCTTTTTTGAGCCATAATAACCACTGATTTAACACTGTTACACTCGCTCAATAAACGGTTAAACGAACAAACGGCATAGAACTAAAAATGAAATCTATTGTATGAAATTATTAAGGTTTAAGTTACAAACATTTAGTTGATTATAATGGTCGGGTTTTACAAAACAAGTGATAGGCGAAAAATAATCGCCTTGATAAACTACTTTTAGTACTAAATTTGGATAAGAAAATTCGAGATATCGAAAATTTGTCAAATTAATTTTCGAGTTACCAAGATTATTTAAACATTAAGTGTAATTGTTATTTGAAGGGGAATTTTAATTATTCGAGACATCGAGAATTTCGAGTTATCAAGGTTCGAGTTACCGAGAGTCGACTGTATATACATATATATTAAATATAGAAAATGGAATTAACACTTATTATAGGCACAATGATTAACAATACATGGTTTTTTATTAGATTATATATATTATATGCATTATTAATTATTTTAAATTATATATAATAAAATAATCGATAGCTTATAATTTTTTTCTTGACTTTTAAGAAGAAAAATGTTCAATAATATCATGAAAATTAATAGTTTTTGTTAAATCAGTTTAAATGTTGAAGGTTGTTAATTAATTAAGACGATTTTCTCCCGGTGTTGATCTGAAATAAGTTTTGACCCTTTTTAATGTAAAAAATGATTTTTCCGTTGAACAATTACTTGAAAGTGTACATACATAGTAGCATCCTTAGAGCAATATCAATATAAGGATATACTTCAACTAAACTATTCTCTTTTATAAATGCTAACATACATTGAACATTTTTAGGTACAATTGTATTCCTTTTGTAAACTTTTTAAATGTGCCCTAAAGTGAATACCGCGTTCTGTGTACCCGAGTCTTTATTATAAACATTGAACGAAAATATAATATCTTATAGAATAATAAATGTAATATACCTATTTTGCTATTTCACAATTACCTAGGTGACTAGGTATAGTATAATTTTTTTAATTACTTATTAGATGCTCAACAATATTTTTTAAAATACTAAGCAATACCGTAAAAGATGTGAAAATTAAAAAAATCATGAACACATCAATAATAAAAGTTAGAATATTTTGCCGCTCCCAAAAATTTGCCGCCCGGAGCATTTGCCCCTTTCCCCCTCCCCTTAAATGCGCCGCTGATCATAGAGTTCGTAGGAAAACATTTATTTTACTTATTTTAGCATATTTTGGACATTGGAGAATATTTAGCCTATTTTTCATATTTTTGAATATATTCAATTATTGTTCATAAAAAGCATATTTTATTTCTCGAGTTGTGATTCTTGTAAGAAAAAAAAATTTGATTGTTACCTATATTGAAATTTGGGACTGAATAGTGCAGTGGTCACACAATGTGGCTACAACGCGCGCAGTCACCAGTTCGAACCCACCTGAGTGCAAAAGACATTCTGCAGTCTTCTGTAGTCGCCCCCTCCCTTGCCGTCATTCAGGCTGCCTACTCGGGTTCTAACGGACCCACTCTACTGGGAGTGAAATCCACACACGGTAGATTCTCTTCTTAGAGAAGGGGGGTACAAGTGCTTCTAGTGCTTCTATACTACCCCTCCCAAGTAAAAAGACATCGATAAAAACCCAAATGATAGTTTCGATTCAAATTTGAAAAGAAAAGTAGTTAAGACTTGTCATCCATTTTTTCCATTTAAATAATTTATCTTTTACCAAGGAATAGTGCATACAAGTTGTTCATTGTTTTTATTTAAGTATTTTGTTTTTTATATAATTTTATTATATTTATACTTCTATGTATGAACTGTTTTCAATTTTTATATTTAAATAATTAACTTGTTAGCAAAGGAATGGCCCACAACAGTAATTTGATATTTTTATTGAACTATTTAAGAAACAAAAAATCATATTATCGCATATTTACAAATTTAAGGAATATTTAGAGCAGTGCCATAACTAAAGTTTCAAAGACCCAGGTGTAGACAAATGTACATAGGTCCCTCTTTCATGAGATACAAACCAAAGTCAGACTGACTTCACGCTATGGAATTTTTTATTCCTTAGATCGGATAGTATTTGTGGATGTATTGAATTTTAAAGAACCAATAGATAATTTTCTAGCTGAAACAATTCTGTGTAAAGCTTCAACTTAGTAGATATAAAAGTTCACAATTGTGTATCGAGTAGGCTTTATTAATAAATGTACTTGTAGAATAAACTATAAAGATAGGTAGATAAAATATATAATATGAATATATGATTATTGGTTTTATTAATATGATTTACAATAAAATATAAAAGTATATATATAGAAGTAATCTATTCATGAAATTTTAGACTTGGTATTTTTCCCAATATTTAGATAAACAATTCCTTATATAACGGACCAGACTTTTACATTTTGTTATATAAAATTAAATACAAGATAGTTATACAATAATTATGAATTAATTTAAATAAAATAAAAAAAATAAAAGTTGATGGCTATCTGCCCTTTGATCCTGCGTGCTCCAGTGCTGTGCACCGCCTGCTCCTATGATTTTTATGGCACTGATTTAGAGATTATTTTAGAGTTTTTTTGGACCATATTATCATCATATTTTAAGCTTTTAAGAACCTTAAAATCCACTTATTATTTATTAGTTATATATTATTAATTTATCTCTTCTCGGTCAATTGGATAAATTTGGTTGTTCTATCAGATTTACTATAAAATAGAAATTCTAGAAAAATGCACATGTTTATCAAATAAATACGTATTACATATGATACAATGATGTATAATTAATTTAAGCTATAAATAGTGTGCTAATGCTTTAATTCATTTTTATTTAATAATAAATTATCTATTTCAAATATCTGATTTCAGAAAGAAATACTACTATTAGTAATGTATGTCCATTATGTTTTGAAGAGATAGGAAATGATCAACAAAATTGGAATAAACACTTAATTGGTCCCTCAGCATGTGAAAATCATCCACGAAAAAATTATCTTAAACATCATTAATAAGAATTAAATGTATATGGTGATCAAAAGCCGCTTTGTGGCTAAAATAATATAGTGTCTGTACCTATATTACAAACAAAGTTAAATTTAAATTAATTGCCAAAGTTTATTAAACCGTCTTCACAACATATGCCAATTTTATTGATATTATATTAATCGTAATAAATTACTTTTAGGAATTGACTGATTGTTATTCAAGTATTTAGTTTTTTATTAACTATTGAGTAAATTGCATAACTTATGTTATAGCCAATTTATTTTTGTATTTTACAAATTTTTAAATTATTTATGTTAATATAATGTATACATGTTACATGTAACTAACATAATATTTTTGTTTTTCTTCTACATAAATGGTGTATATACTTACATTTAAAAATACATTTAATATTTTAATTTGTAATTTTTGTATAATTAGATTTGCTATTAGTAAAACATATATTACGTTGTATATATATAATTATAACTACTGCTAAATAGACAATCAAACCATTTTACATTATAAGCAAAAAACAAGTGGTAAAACTAAAAATGTTCATTCAATCAAATATTCCATAGTCAGGCCATCCCAATTTGTTTCCAACATCAATTTTTTTTTTTTTAGTTATAACTAGATTTCGCATTTGTATGCAATTACATTATTTTAATGTGTGTATGCAGTTTGATGAAAGTAAAAAATGTGGATGATTTGTGTAACAGAAAATGCATAGGATAAAGTTTATTTTGCAATTAAATGCATATTTTTGGGTTGACTGAATATTTGAAGAATTTCAAATATTTAAGCATATTTTGTATAAAAGTTCATTAAACCAATTATTTTATTTTTTATATTATATTAGACAGTAGAACCTACATTATGATTTATCAAATATATAACGTGACAAAGCTTCTACTGCAAAATCTAAATTTATTCTTAAGTATATCATAAAAATTAAGAAATTCAAGAATTAAAACAAATCAGATTAACTATATCAGAAAAAAAAATTAAATATTGCTTTCAGAAAACTGCTGTTTGCTCTATGACCAATATGAAACATGTATCAACATCAATAAATGTAGAAAGATTGTTTAGTATTTATATTTAAACATATAATTAATAAGGCAAATATCACACCTGAACACATAGAAAAATAAATTATTATGAATTATTTATATAAAAAGTAAATATCATAAATTTTTATTTTTTAAAGTTTTTTTATTGAATTTCAATATTTTTTGTTTCGTAAATATTTATATAAAAAAAAAAAAAAATGGCAAAAAACATTTAATACATTATGATTTTTTTATTATTCCTAACTAAAGTATTTGTTCTATTTGTTGAACATATGTGTAAATATTTGCTTTAATTAATCTTATAAGTTGATATCTGTATTGGAGATAATAAATTTATCTAATTAAGTATCATTAATATTTAAAGGAAAAATATGAATATATATTTAAATGCATTTATTTTGAGTAAGAGCATATTTTTATATTAAAAAAAAAAAAAATATGAAGCACATATTTAAAGACTTTTAATGCATAAAAGCATTATTTTAAGTTTTTTAAGTACATACAAATCTGGACCATAATTATAAATAAATAATTGGAAAAACAATAAAAATTATATTACCATGTGTATATTTATTGTTTATACCAGAGTATGTGTATAAAGTTTAGCCTTATAAGCATCAGCTGCACTTTTGTCTTAAAATAACATTAATTAACAATGAAATATGTATACAGAAAAAAAAAATTTCATAAAATAAGTTTATGGAAAATGTTAAAAAGCAAAAAATAATAAACCTTAGAGCGTGATTGTTTTAAATCAAAAAACAAATTTCAATTGGTAAGAAATAATATATATTAAAAAAAAGAACAAGAAATAATTAACATATAGTTTACTGAAATGTTCTAAGGTAAAACATATCAATGTTAGATAGACCTTGTTGTATTTTGTTAATTCTAAAACATAATTCTCATATTAAAATGCTTAATACTTAAAAAACATTTTTTGATACATTTGGCAATTAAGTAAACTAAATCAAATTATATTTTAACACCAGTTCATGATAGTATTTAGCGATGAAGTAGTTTGTCTTAAGGGAAAACATTATTGTCAGTCTCGAAGGTGCATTCTTTTTTTTAAATATATTAAGGAGTAATATAGCAATTTATTATGTAAAATTTTATTCGCATTTGATGAGTTCAACATCGAAAATCAAAGTGGCATTTGGTGGAATAACACCAGGATGTCCCAAAGCGCCATAAGCATAGTCTGGAGAACACGTCAATTTTGCACGAGAACCAATACTCATCTGAAAATATAAAATAAAACCAATGAAAAACTAATAGATAAAACAAATTAAGTTTCAATATGAAATGTTTGCAGAATAGGAAACTATTGCAATATTTAGTCTTTTCTTATTTAAATATAGTTCTCACCTGAGCAACACCTTCATCCCAACCTTTGATAACTTCTCCCTTTCCAATCTTGAACTTGAAAGGCTTGTTGCGGTCTCGGGAAGAATCAAATTTTTTGCCATCAGTCAACGTACCTATCCACATAATTGTATAATTAACTAAAAGGTTATATTTCAAAACAAATCATGAAACAGATATAAACTGCACTTTGATTACTAAATAGGTTATCTAAGCTCATGAAATACTATACTGACAGAAGTTAATTAATCACAGCAAGGGCAAAATCAAAAATTAATTTTTGAAAAAATAGCAATCATATACCGGGTATTATGATTAATGGCAAATAAAATATTCGAAATCAAGTGGAAAAGAATTGGTAATATAAAAACCCAATAGACGAATTGACGGACGATAACAAGACGCTTCACGGGTGATGAGGTGATTCGTTAGCACAACCATACTACTGCGATACGACCCTCGGAATACAGATATTTACTCAGACTTACCTGTGTAGTGTACAGTGACAGTTTGGCCTTTTTTCGGGAACGTCGCACCTGCGAGAAATACGGAAAAAAATTAGTTTCAAATAAAAACGGCGCGCGCGTGCACACAGCACACGGTGGTCGTCACCGCCGCCGGGATTAGTCCAGAGTTAACCTCGACGTGTGTTAACGCGCACCGCACCGGTGAAGCCGGGCGCCATTGGTACGAGATGTGAAACACTCACCGTCTCCTTCGACCAGGAATGTAACGTCCACGCCCATTGTTGGTGTTTGCGGTTTTATAAAAATATTTGCGCGAATAATCGGATAACGACGGTTGCGGGAAAGAGACGCACGCGACTAGAACCTAACCAAGTAAACAGAAACAGCGGAATGAATAATAGTAATAGTACAAAAAACAAATAGGTAACAGATGTACAATCGAACAGCCTGGACGAAGCGTCGATAAACGTTGTTGCAGTACGTGCCCGCGTGACGGTCCGAAAATGTAGAGCTGTGCGCACAGTGGCACCACCATACCGACATACGGCGACGACGTTCCCGCCATAATATATTAAAGGCAGCCATACACTCAGCGTTATACTGGATATGTATACTTGTTCATGTGTACATGTCAAGTAAACCTGAATACAATATAGTTTACACACGTAGCTGAAAACTGTGAATAGTCTCAGTGAAGCAATGGCTCCAGCACGTAGACGCGACTACTACGATGCGTTAGCCCTTTCAAATCTGCTCGTAAATATTAGTCAAAGAAAGGGAAAAAGAAGCGAAAAAAGTGGTGTAAAAAATGATTAATGAAAAGAGATCAATTTACCCACGTAAATTAGAGCGTGAACTACGTGAAGTATTTTGATCACCAAGAAAATCCAAAATATAATAAAACCACAGTGAAGGTTTGTAAACATCGTCTGCAGATGCTCCAGATTTTATTGATTGAAAAAATAAAAATGTGAAACTTTTAAGCAGTTTAAATATTGGGTTTTATATGGATCGATTTAAAATGTCGTTAAAAATTAATGTATTTGGACAGGGAAATTTTATACTACGGACAGGGAAAACCCCCTTGGCTACGCCCTTGGGCATCCCTTTATTTATTTTGAGCCATTTCGACCACTACAATTATCATTAATAATATTTATTATTTATTATTATTGATATCTGTGGTTGTAACTAACCCAAAGACACAGAAAATAAAAAATTATAATATGATTTTTGCTACGAATTCAAAATAAAATTATAAATACATGTATAATTACATAGTTAAAATGTTTTGAAATATGCTTTGATGTATAAATCTTAACAGCAGGGGCAAAATTAAAGTGAGAGTTGAAGGGCAGCTTATATATATTAAGGGCAGATATATACATTTACAGGCCATATACATATCACGAATATAGTATATAAATTATATCATGTAACAAATCATAAACTAAAATAGTGATACCTATCTAGTGGAAAAAAATTATATAATCACAAAGTGTACAATAATATTACCACATCCATGCCATATTATTACTGTAATAATTCACAGAATAATAATTTCTTAAAATATAATTAGCTAAATTGGGAAATCATATCAAATATATCATCAATAAATGGATATTTTTCTCACGTACGAGTAAATGGGTATTACCTATATAGATAAATAATTATAAATTGACGAAATTAAATAAAATGAAATAGGTAGATAATAATTATCAATTAATTTTTATATTTATACTTTAATTTTTCTACCATGTAATTTACCATAATGTTATGAAGACGGAAATTACGTTTTCAATATCTTGTAAGTAGTTTCATAAGAATAATACAATTATTAATCTAATACTTAAATAATTATTATAATTATCATACATTTTAGTTATACAATTGATTTTATACAGATAATGTCCGTATTATTTTATATGACGACTGGTAAATGTAGGTATTAAAGAGGTCTAAAGTTTATTATTTTTCTATATTTTACCAGTTGCCTGATTAAAAAATAGCATGACTATAAATATAAATATATTTTTATTTATTTACGCCCGAAGGCAAGAGAGTGTTCATAGTGCTACAATTACAAAATAGGAGGCCGTGTACGGTAATTATATTAGGCCCCTTCCTAGGATTTATTTTTGTTGTACGTCTTATTTATAAGTATCAATTTTTTTAGGTTTTAAAACATGTTTTACATCAGTTAGTATATGATATTTGTATATATATCAAATTAAATACCTACAACTGTTGGACTACAGCCTATTTGCGCCCCAGAGTAGTAAATTTGTGTCCCGAGGGATGTGGACAGATGCACACTTTGCACACCCGGTTTTTGCGACACTGAGTGTACATAGAATTTCAATATATAATTAATTGATTATAACATGATTATGATTAGTAATATAAGATAGATTTTAAACATAATAATACAATTTCGTTACTAAATATAAAGGTATTACATTATAAGAAAAAAAAGATATTGAATATAATTATAAATTCAAATTCAAACATAAATGACGAAGTTAAGATTCAGAATCGAAGTTTAAGTCGAAGCTATCGAGGCTGTTGCGAACCTGAAGCTTTACTTCTAGCTACTTTTGGGGCTCATTAAAACTATATGATTGACTGTGGAATGACTCATAAGAAATAGTTTTTGATCTCGTATAAAAAGTTGGAATTGACAAACCAATTTTTTCAAGTAATTTAAAAAACTGAATATTATTATTTAAAATTTTAAGAATAAAAGATGCATCATTAAATTTACATTTAGAGGAGAGTGAGTGTAGACCTAACTTCATTGTAAGCTCCTTTGTGGAACAATACATTAAAAACTTATAAGATAAATATCTCAAGAAGTAAGATTGTACATTATCTAGATGACTAATGTGATTAAGTTGATAAAGATTCCATATTATCGTCCCATACTCATAATTCGAACGTACTATGGAACAAAATAATATTTTTAGACAAATAATAATTTTGAAATCATAGCATTGACGTCTGATGAATCCTAACATGCGTATTGCTTTGCTGTAGATAAAAGAAATATGTTCAGAGAAAGAGAGATCAGCAGACAAAATAATACCCAAATTTTTAATGGAAGAAACTGAGTTAAGGTCTTGATTATCAATAGAATATAATAGAATTATACATAACAGGGTTTTACATTTAGTGAAGGATATCTGAGCACATTTATTGATGTTTATTAATAAATGGTTTTCTTTACACCACTTACTGAAACGAATAATATCATCTTCAGGGCTGTATTTAGGGAGGAGCTACAGGGTCATGTTGCCCCGGGCGGCTGAATATGAGAATATAATTTTTTATATTTTCAATATTTAATGATCTTATATTTTTGAAGTGAAACTTCTTTAAAATATAAAAAGTATATCTCAAAAAAATAAAAATATGTATCGCCAATCATGGCATCACGACACACACACACACTCTCTGTAACAGTCGAGTACTGTCGATATATCCAAAGATTTAGGAATATATAGAAATATTCCTATTTTTTCTATGTCCTTATGTTGACATTGCACTTAGAATGTTTTTATGTACAACAGCAACGAATTGTTCTTCAGAAAGATCTTTTTCAACCTGTAGAAATTTGTATTTGGTATAATGAAGCGTTTTTTTATTGTTGCCCCCTGATGTCAAATTCTTAAATACGGTCCTAATCATCTTGCACCATATTACAGTCTTCTAATGAGTTAACTACCATATTTATCTGTAAATCGTCAGCAAAAAAGAATATTTATAGAAACTGAACACACTCTGTAGATCATTAATAAGTAATAAGAATAATAAGGGACATAAATGTGCATTTTGTGGTACACCAAATAGGACACTAAAAGCAGATAACATTTGGTCTAAGATTTTGACTTGTTGAGTTCTTCCCGTTAAAAAGGTGCCAAACCAAGATAGTAGTGGGTTAGCAACGCCATGAGCATTAAGTTTGTTTTATAATAATTTGTGGTCAACTGAATCGAAAGCTTTATATAGGTCAGTATACAGTGTGTTTCCTTTTAAAGGTAACACTAAATAATTCTGTCCAGTGACATCAGATTAATATGCGGTTTTTAGGAGGGGATAGGGAATACATAAATACACATTTTTTAATGATTTTTACATTTTTAGATCTTTCCGTGTGCGCATGCGCAATACAACTTGCATTTTTTAAATGGCAACAGGTGTTTTGAATACCAAATTCGGATAGACCGAATTTTTTTAAGTCGATTTGGTCCTTTTTACCATAGCTCTAAAATCAAATCTGACTAAATGGCAACCAGTCAAAGTTTCGATTAAAATTATTGAATTTTTCACCAATCATACTAGAATTTTATGAATTATTATGAAATTTTATTTATTATTTTTGTATCCGTAGGTTTGTAGATATTATTAAATCATTTAAATTTAATTTTGAGGAATTAATTAACCTCAATTAGACGTAAATGTTAGTTCAATTACTAAGTAAGAAAAGATTAAACAAAATGATATGATTTATTTCTCATAACTTCTATTATTAAAGTTTCTATTTAAATTATTAATTTTATCAATTATTGTTATTTAGGTTAATTAATTCCTCAAAATTAAATTTAAATGATTTAATAATATCTACAAACCTACGGATATAAAAATAATAAATAAAATTTCATAATAATTCATAAAATTCTAGTATGATTGGTGAAAAATTCAATAATTTTAATCGAAACTTTGACTGGTTGCCATTTAGTCAGATTTGATTTTAGAGCTATGGTAAAAAGGACCAAATCGACTTAAAAAAATTCGGTCTATCCGAATTTGGTATTCAAAACACCTGTTGCCATTTAAAAAATGCAAGTTGTATTGCGCATGCGCACACGGAAAGATCTAAAAATGTAAAAATCATTAAAAAATGTGTATTTATGTATTCCCTATCCCCTCCTAAAAACCGCATATTAATCCGATGTCACTGGACAGAATTATTTAGTGTTACCTTTAAAAGGAAACACACTGTATAGTGAGGTTTTTACCCACTATAAGTGTGCGGTATTTGGCTATAAAATATACTTACCTGGCAATCCATAAAGTGTGCAGTTTTTAGATGCAACCCTATGCAGTGCCGCAACTACTGAAGGTGCAGACAGTGCAAGGCACCGACTGATAGGCCTTAAAATGATTGTATTGGGGGCCTTGGATTCCGCAAATTTCTTATATATATATATATTATATATGTATACACGGTTCCACATGATTTCAAATGCAGCGTTGTACTATCGTTAAAATTTGAACTGTAAGGTTAAATATATTGTTTTTAAATAATTTTCTATACTCCTAAATTGTATTTAAGCTGATTAAGGAATGATGAAGGGCCTCTAAAATTTTCTTACACCTGGAACTCAAAATTGTAGGTGTGGAACTGGATCTATGTCAAGTGATGCAATTTAAATAAGATACTTCTTTCATATCGGGAAAAAAACATTGTATTATGGTAAAACCAATTAAAAAAATGTTCGTAAGAAAAAATAAAAATTTTATGAAAATACCAATATAAACCGATAGTTATAAGCAGTGCTCGACTTGGCAAAATTAAAGAAGGGGGACTCTGTTACTTTAAAGAAAAATAGCGTCCCTGAGACTTGTTAAGCGTTATAATTATAACGTTATAATAGTAGGAGGACGTAAAAATTTCTGAAAATTAGTTGGGGTACTCCGTTCCCCTGTGTCTCCCCTCAAGGCAAACACTGGTTATAAGGAGGTTGTATTATTTTGAATAAAATAAGTGAAGGGATACAATCCCCTGTAGTTCTCTCCTCACTTCGACCACTGTATCTGTGGTTACAACAGTTGGAACCATGAATGGCAGACTGCGCTGCAGGCACACGTTGACCATAGATAATAAATAATTTATTATCCATGCGGCTATGATTTGTAGTTGCGTGTAATACGTAACGTTTTATAGCACCGGTTAAATGTGAATAATTAATAAGTAAGTGTCCTGTGATTAGAGTAACGTGGACGTGTGTGGTCCGTATCGAACGTTATCGACGATTCTTTTGTTACACATTGCGTGTCCGTTCGACACGTCTTTATGGCATTATTAATAAAGTCCGCCATTAATTACACTCGCGCGACTGGTCTGGTTAAACATTTATTCGTTCCACAGTTAAACGCTGCTCTCAGTCTACAAACTTATTCGTCCGAAGCCGCCGCCACGATGAATGAACACGAAATCGTTCCCGACGTCATTGACGTTGCACCTAGTGAAAAATTGGAAGTAAGATGTTTTACGTTTTAGTGTAAATTAAATAAAATCGATTTTGTGATCTGCAATTTAGCCGTAATCGGTGTAGGAACTCTTCAAATTTTTTTTTTCAACGTCCTCGTATTTTGATGATGCGTTTTATCTTATGTAAGATTGTAATTATACAATTCTTTATAGTGTGGTGAATTATTGTCCAGGGAAATGTATGTGTAATTTGTTGAATGCATACTAATTGGTTGTATATCTAGGTATTATGAACCAGTTCAAAATGTTTGAAGTATAATAATGATCTCAAGGTGTTAAATATTTGATTTGATATGAACAAGTACATTGTACCGTTTTAAAACCATTTTAGAAAATATCCTGATTTTATTATTTTTAATCATTTTTATAGTTTTAAAAGGTCCATATGTTTATAAATATTTTCATATTTTAGGTGTCTTACCCCAGTGGAGTTACTGTTGATATGGGTAATGAACTCACACCTACTCAAGTGAAAGATGAACCATCGGTAAACTGGTCAGCTGATTCAAATGCTTTCTACACTCTTTGTATGACAGGTAATATTTGATTCATATTTTGAATTATTCAGTTACTTATTCTTCTTATTATGTCCTACACCCAATTCTCTAGATAAACTTGCCAACTACTTATTATTTTTAGTTTCTTCCCTTCATAGATACCATTTATTTTTTCATCAAGTCTTTTCATTTTAAACGTCTACAAGGTCTATCTTTCATTAAGTTATTTCCTTGCTGGATTCTTTTCTACCACGATAAGAAGTAAATTTTGATTCCTCCAAGTCTTTCCACTCTTTTGCATTCATTTAATCTTGATTTTATTTGTGTTACAGATCCTGATGCACCAAGTCGTAAGGAACATACATATAGAGAATGGCATCATTGGTTAGTTGGAAATATTCCTGGTAAAGATGTTAGTAAAGGTGAAACACTCTCTGAGTATGTAGGATCTGGACCACCGCCTAAAACAGGTAAATTATAAAAATGAAATCATTAAAATTAGTGAGAATGTTGTATAAAAATAATTATTTAATATAATAATTTATAGGACTTCATCGTTATGTATTTTTGGCTTATAAACAACCATCAAAGTTGACTTTTGATGAACCACGTTTAACTAATAGGTAATATAAACATTAACTATGGAAAAATATGTACTTAATTTAATTTTTATTTTAGATCTGCTGAAAAACGTGAAAAATTCTCTATTGCTCAATTTGCACTTAAATACAATTTGGGAAATCCTGTAGCTGGAAATTTCTATCAAGCTGAGTATGATGATTATGTACCAATACTTTATAAGCAACTTGGTGCTTAACTAAAAATATAAAAATATAATAAAAAATCAAATGTAGGATCATTTATATTTTTTTTATAAAAATTAGTTTTGTATAGTGATGCATCACCTATATTTTTATGTTTAGAACAAATTTTGGATGTGGTTTAAATAAAACAAATTAACTAAAAATTTTATTTTGTGTTGACATTATTTAAACTCCTCATCTTGGCATTAATAATTAAACTCTAATTGAGTTATATTTAATATAATTTGACCAGTAAAAAACAAAATAATTCTATTCCATCAATTTTTTTTTGTTTTAAGTAAAATGTATTAATAAAAAAGCATTTATGAATTGACATTATCTAGTATTATAAATTTCTTATCCAAAAGTGTGAACTTTAATCAGTTTTCACATACTGTTGGTTGAATTATTATCTGTAATATTCTACAAATGAAAATATTTTTTACTATTTAATGAAAAAATATTAATTACCCATTGATTATAAATAGTGTTTATCATGTAGTTATATTAAGAAAGTAATAATTTTCATACTGAGTGGTTGTTATTAACATTTATCATTATAAGATATTATATTTATCTTAAATTATGGTACGCTGCATTCATTGCTCAAATACATAAATGTCTTTTTAGAATCTATTCTAAATTATATTTCATAACTAAACATGTAATACAGTGATGATTTTAAATAAATTAACTAAAAATGAGTGATTACTCAACAGTATAAAATGAAAATTTCATTGGTAAGCGTTCTAGACTTTAATTATTATTATAATTGTTTTTTATGAAATGTCTACGAATAGGCTAAAATAATACATCAGTTATTTTAAAGTAATAATTTAGTTCTCAGAATGTCATCCTGCTTGTTAAGCAAAATATATTCAAATAGGTAAACGATTAAGATTTTTTATAATCATTGACTGCATTAGGTACTACAATTTAAATATGTTTGCACAAAATTATTTTTATATGCTTAAAATGTACTTCTAGTTTTACAGTATCGGCTTTAAATTGATGATAGATACCAAAATTATCAAATGATGTCTATTCTTTTTTACATTTCAAGTTATCTCTAATAAACTGATATATTGATTTGAGTTTGATGAAAACAAACTAGTTGTATACTTATTCCTAAAGAGTATTCATAATTAGACTACATATTCCATACTTTTACTTTTTGTGTACATACATTATACACCAGTACATTACCTAACATGTATAATAGGTGAATGTGTGGGTCAACAATTTTGAACTTTGACATTAACACAATATAAAACAACACTAGCCATTATATTTAAAGATAACAAATGTATAACTATAGGTATTAAACAATGTTTTTTAACATATCGTAAAATATGAGAGATAAAATCAAATAGGACACGAATTAATAAATCATTTGATTAAAAATTATTTGACTGTGTATTTTAAAACAATTTTAATATAATGATACAGTATAAATTTAAAAAATTGATTTCTTTGAAACAATTTTTATCAAGTAAGTATTTTTTTTATTTTTATTGATTCTCATTGTATACGAAGTGGATTTTTTCAGAACGATCGTATTCCAACAATGATATAAAAAAAACCGCTTTATACGATTTTCATAAAAAAAATGAAGGTAAAATGGTTCCATTTGCTGGCTACCTTATGCCAGTCAAATATGCTGATAGTATAACTACGTCTCATCTACACACCCGCAAGTTGTGTTCTTTGTTTGATGTCTCACATATGTTGCAGACAAAAATTTACGGAAAACATAAAAAAAAATTTATGGAGCGAATATGTGTTACGGATGTGGAAAGTAAGTTCAACGAAATAAAACTGATTTTTAAAAAACCGAATGTGTATAATATACATTATATGTATTATATTCAATACGTGCATAATGTATTATTTGTGCAGGTATGGGAAAGGGCAAAAGCGCGTTAAGTTTGTTTGTAGACGACGAGACCGGTGGGATATTGGACGATTTGATAATAACTAATACCGATGAGGACTATTTGTATATGGTAACAAATGCCAGTTGTAAGGAACAGGACATGAAAATATTAACGGAACAACAAGTTAGTGACCAGAGTACAACTTTACGTGCATTTTATTATTTTTACGAATTTTTCTAATTTTTTTCTTTTTCTAGGAAATTTTCAAATCCAGCGGTCATGACATAACCCTCGAGTTTTTGGACAGTAAAGATCAGTCGCTACTGGCTTTGCAGGGCCCCGGTTCCATGAGTGTTCTACAAAAGCTCGTTTCTTCTATCGACTTGTCGAAACTTTACTTTATGGATTCTTCAACGGCTACGGTCTGCGGAGTACCTGATTGCCGGATTAATCGGTGTGGTTACACCGGTGAAGATGGATTCGAAATATCCGTGCCGTCTAGCCGGGTTGAAATGATTGCTGAGTCGTTCGTCGCTAATGACAGTGTAAAATTAGCAGGGCTAGGCGCTAGAGACACCCTAAGGCAACGTTATTATATTAACTGACTACCGAGTTCCATCCATCATCTATTGTATTAAATTGATTGCTAATGTTGTTTCCAGGCTTGAAGCTGGTATGTGTTTGTACGGGTCGGATATAAGTCGGGAAACGACGCCGGTAGAGGCAGCGCTGGTGTGGACTATAAGTAACTATTGAATTATTATTTTGAAATTTTAGATTTTTAAAAAAGCCAAAAATTATGTATAAGTCTCACGACAAGATTTATTTTCTGTAAATTCATATAATTTTAGAAAATTCAAAAATTTTACACTTGAGGCAGGTAGACATATTATCAGAGAGTTGTCCCCCAGTCACCCCAAAAACTGTGGCGACGTTTTTTGAATAAATTATGGTAACCCACCACCTGAAGTAATCCCTAATGGTGGTTCCAGGTGATGGATGTATCGCCAGTTTTTAAAGGAAATAAAAACAAAAAGCAGGCCTACTATACAAATAGACAAATATCTAATTTTTCTATTTTATAGTAAATACTTCGCGTAATGTAACGTTGAAAAAAATTTAATGTCTTCAAATAACAAGTTATAGTGCGGGATTTCTCTATAGGTATTTTATTAAATAAGTATTTCTTGTGATTTAAGTTATGATAATTATATAAATTAAATTATTAGATTTTGTCTATCTTAAATTTATACTCTGACTACTGCAGAAGCGTACCCTGGATTTTTTTATGGGGGGGTCCAAAATTTTTATTTTATCTGATAATGGGAAATTAAAATACACTATATACTATTATTATGCTATTTACTATTAAATAGTTGAGTATGTAGAAATTCCAAGGGGGGGGGCGGTCCGGACCTGGACCCCTTTGGGTACGCTCTTGGACTACTGAGGCATACAATTTGTCTTGATGAATATAAATTAATTACATTTTTTTCTGAGTTTTCAAGTATATGAATAAAATTAAGTTAGTAATAAGTACACCGTTTAAAATTATTTTTAATTCGCAGTAAAGGGTTGCTTCTAAATTTAAAGATGTTCTCCTCAGTACATGGTTCAATAATCTGAGTACTTGATTTATAATTAACCCTTTCAGTCCGAAGATATTCATTAACTTTTTAATAATACGTATTTATTCCCTTTTTTGTGCGTATACGACTAATGATTCCAGGTTTAATTTATTTTAAATTATATTGTGACCTATCCCACATATGTGATGATTAATCTTTAAATGGATTAAAAATAATATTTGTATCAGACCATTAGTTGATAGTTATTTACCAACATAAAAGTGAGGGTTAGAACTGAAAACCAATGATTTTGATTTATTTTTATTCAGGCCGTAAGAGAAGAGACGAAAAACGATTTCCTGGCGCTTCAATTATTCTAAAGCAACTGACTGAAGGTGTGCAACGTAAAAGGGTTGGACTTATTCAAAAAGAACAAGGTGCTCCAGTTAGAGGGGGAGCTGTTATTTTTGGTGGTGATGGCCAAAAAATTGGATCGGTAACCAGCGGATGTCCTTCTCCTTCGTTACTCCAGAATATAGCCATGGGTTATGTGGATAGCAAGTTTGCCAAAAATGGAACGGAAGTGCAAGTGGCGGTTCGAGGAAATAAAATATCAATGGTTGTCACGAAAATGCCATTTGTAAAATCAAATTATTATTCTAAACCTAATTAAATAAATAAGTATTTTTAATTATTTTATTGAATTGATTTTTACATTTTTTAAACACACTTATTTAAAATATAAAATTATCACAGAATTATGAACATAGAACATTAGGAAGCACTATGTTGAAGTAGATACTGAAGAAGTATTTAATCTGAAAATTAGAATAATAATACAATCAACTTTGAAAAAAATACACTGTATAAATGTGTCCCATACCTTTTGTTTTTTCGTGGCTTATACAGTTGTTTTCTTTTCGAAGGAAAGTTATTGATTTTTGAATTATTTATTATTCGTTTTAGTTTAGTATTCGTCTTGTAAAGTTTATTACAGTGTTGTTTAAGTTGTTTAATTTTCTGTTTAAATCCGTCAATTATACTGCGTACTTCAATTTTCCACCTGTACATTTTTTAGTTTAAAATTTAACTTTTGTTTTAGTATAATGCATAGTAAAAAGCAAATTAAACTAATAAAAATTAAATTAAATAATACATTGTAAATATATTTTATAGACATATAGAGATATTGGTGCCCCATATTTAATTATTATATTATTATATTTATGATTTCGACAATACGACAAATTATCTTACATGTCCAATAGTTGTTTGAGCGCTTCTAAATGTTTTGTAAGTTCTTTAATTTGCATATTTTTCTGTTGATATTTATCTTCTGGTCGTTTCCTATTGCAAGAACGTATTTTTTATGGACAAATTAATATTTAATTTTGTTGTACTCAATATTAACTTAGAAGTTAAAATAATATTTTCTTAAAGTATTTAGGACAATAAAGAATTATATTGGATGTATAGAACTCAAAATATTATTTTAATTTTAATATTTACTTCATTTATAAGATATGTTAATAGTACTTATAAAAAAATTGTTTATTCATATAAATAATTTAAATTTATTTATTTCCATTTTACCAATAAATTGTTTTTATGATGGTTAATGATTTTGGCTATAATATTTTTTATTTTAAGTAAATATAATGTAATATATAAATAAAAATACTGACAATATATTTATAATCAATGTTTATAGGTAAAATGATTATTATTATTATTATTGTGAACTGTGGACAAATGTCCACAGTTTACAATAATATTCTCACAATTTACTAATTTCCATTTCCAACGTTTTTATTCTATCTGTTGCTGTCACTATAGTTTCGTTATTTTCAGCAATTTCAGCTATTGATTTGTTTAAATTATTTTCTAGTGATTTTATTGTATCCTTTAAAAATTGTATTTCCATTGTATATTTTGTTTTTTTCCTCGCATAACTGGAAACAATTATATGATATTATGATAATATATTTTATTAATAGATTTACCTGTAAATATTATAGGAAAATGCAAATGGTTTCCAAACGATATAAAATATTTGTATTGTAATACTTGTAAATACCATCACGTTAAAAAACATAAAATATTAAATTTGTTTCGAATCTGTGAAGTTTTCGCGAACAAAATGGTAAAATTGACGAAATCAAAGGACACGAAAAATTATTTATACTATGAAACAAAAAACACGAAACGCGAAACAAGCGTAGTGTGGAGTGACCTTTACTCGATACAAGATATCATATTATTTGAATGAATTCATCCTAGTGTTATAATTTATAAATATATTTGGTATTGAATGTTGTAAAATCTAAGAATGTATTTTAGTAGAGCATAAATGTAATTGCAAAGTCGATAATTATTATAATTATTATCTATCATATTATATTTTTCAGTTAGGTTAGGTTAGTCTAATCGTTAAAAAAAATAAAATACCTTGGACATCGATTAATAACAATATTATTGTAGTTTGTAGTTCTTCAAATAAAATATAAGACAGAGATACTATAAATATGCATTGGTATTAACATGGTCTTTGTACGCACCTATCTTGGAGTTTTCTGTTTGCTTCTTCTAGAATTTCAACGTTAGTTCTTATATTATTCAATGTAACTTCATATTCATTGTTTTGTTTGACAAGTCCAGTCATTTTCTTTGAATATTCATGCGGTTTATCGGCAAACTTTTGATTGATTAATGCATAGTTTTTACTCAGTACCTCATATTCTTTCGATATCCGTTGATACTTATTACCTTCAATCTGCTTCTCCTAGAATTCACATAATATTTTCCGTAATTTATAGATATTTTTTGTTATTTAAAGTTAAAAAAATAAGTAAATAAATAAAAAAGTTTGACATATTGATAATACGTACATATCGAACAGTTTTAAATATTGAGATTTAAATTATGTAAAGCTATGTAATAACAAAACTAATTATTATATCTACCGTTCGTAGGATCTCGATTTCGGCATTTGCTTCACGTAATTTATTTTTATATATGATTTTTACATTTTCTATTTCCAATTTTACCTTTTTCCCAGCTTCTTGTATTAAATTTTTTAGTTCATTTTCTAACTTAGATATTTGTTCTAAAATGTACGTTCGAAGAAAATTATTCGTTAAAACGTAGAAATAATATTTTAATCTAAAATACAAACCCTTTGAATTATTCAAATCTTCTATAAGTCGATCTTTCTCTGAACTTATTTTATCCATAATTTCGATTGCTTCTCTAACTTTATTTCGAGCGATGTCTGCATCGGTTTTATATTTATCAACTTCTCCGAGACATGATTCTAATGCAGATTCTAGATGTTTACGAACTAAAAATAATGATAGATATTATATATGAGTAACTTATTATATAACTGTACAAATAGAAACCTATTTAATATTAATAAAACACTTTTATTGAATTATTTTAATGGATTATCTATATTTATATCATTAAAGTATATGATACAATATAAATATATCACTATATATTGTACCATTATGTAATTGCATAATAGTTTAATAATATAATATAATAAATTTACGTTAATCTGTTATTTTGTATGTATAGTTATATCATTTGAAGTTAAATAATATATGTAATAGGTATTTATTCATAAATTGTATGGCTTTGCCAATCATTACCTCTATTTGTTTTATCTATTATTTGGTTAAGTTGTAAATTTTCGTTTTCTATAGTTTTAATCCTAGCTATTTCTATTTGGTTATCTGAAATAACAAATATATAATAATATAATAAAAAATTGAATTAAAATTAAAAATTAGTTAATGGTCAACACTCGTAAATTAATATATAAATAAATAAATAGTTTATACATAGAAATATATAAATGCTTGATCTAGAGTTTTATTATATTTATAAATCACGACTAATTTCAAATTCATACTTAGTTATATTGAGGTGTACAAGTATATTTTATTGACTTATTGACTAACCTGACGATGAATTTTTAGTTCGCAAACGGTCGTGCTTCAAAAATATAATAATACTCCAGAATAATCATTTATTTATTTATTTCTATGTTTAAACTATTCGTTTATTTATTTATATATTAATAAATATGTACTTATATTTCATTAGATATCGATTCAGTATTTTAATTTATATTTCTTATTATTGTTTATACCTAATTAATTTTTTAATTTTTCATTGTTCTAAATGCAACCAAATACTAACGAATCAATTAGTAATACTATATGTATTATTACTTACAACCAGTTTGTATTATTTTATGGCTATTTAATATTTTTATAATGATTTTATTTTTTAATATATTAAGCATATAAAGAGTAATATAATGGGTAATTATTATGTTTCTTACTACAGTTTTCTTTTTCAGCAAGCATGTATTTAGATTCCAATCGCAAGTATTTCTCATACAATTCGTCATATTTATCCTTCCAATGTCGCCCTTTATTTTCTATTTCAAGAATACTTTTAGCATAGTTTATTTTTTCGTTATCGGCTTGATTAAAGTTTAATACTCCGTGTGTTTCACTAATCATATTCTGAAAAGACGATAAATGTATTTATGACATAGATATGTACAAAGGATTTATTTTTTATCTAAAAATAATAATTAATAATCGTTTTTTTTTTTTTAATTAATGCTAACCTGGTATGGTTTAAATTCGTTTTCAATGTGTTGAGTTTCTAATAAAGAATCATTTTCATTTTTCAATTCTTGTTTCAAATTATTAAATGTGTTACCTTTTGGTTTTAAAAACGAAACATTGGAATCTGCTACCTAAATGTGCAATTAATTAGAAAAATATTTATATTTTGTAATATTCTAAGTATTCACAAACTCTGTGTTTATTGAATGGGATTTCTTTAATACTAGAATTATCAACTATTTCTTCGGATTCTTCATTGAGTGTTGATGTAGTATTTCCAATATTAGTTACTTCGTTCATCATGGTCAATTTTTCTTTCTAAAATGATAAATCAAATACTTTTAAAATACAATAAAATATGTTATATTTTAGAATTATTTTAAAATTTAATAAAATACTCAATATATTAGTTACCTTAAATGTTTTCAAATTTCTTTCAACTCCCATCTTGAACGACTTCGACAGTTTTAAAAGTTTTTCCATCGGCAAATCCCTATTTAAGTTTAATGAATAAATTAAAAATGATCAGGTACGATTTGATAAATATCATCGTACTCATCAATTGTATCGAATGTTTCTTCTGGTTGTATAATATCTTCGTCCATGGTTTCGCAATTTTGTGATAAAGATATATTGTTTAATACATTTAAAACAGTAGTAAAAAAAAAACGTTTTTCATATGCTAAATTTTCACACAACTTTAAACACACACGTTTTATTTTTCAAAGCTCACAATGAATATGAAGTGTTATAATAACACTGAACATCACAATGTGTACACTGGAACAATATAAATTAAATCATATTTTATAGCTAAGTAAAACTATATAAATAAGTATAAAAATTACAAGTAATATATTATGATAACGGCAAAAGAGCTGGGTTGATAGTAATCGTAAAAAAAGATAATAGATCGTTTTTGTGTACACATGTAATCTCCATAGAAACGAACATATGCAATTGAATGAAACTTTCGAAACGGTGAATAACTCATACTCAGTTCATACTGACCGTTTCACTATTATACCGTTAACTTACCATTGTTCTCTGAATGAATTTTTTATTCTTCGAATTATTTCATTGCAGTATGATTCAGTAATTTCAAATGACTAAACAGTAACTTAATACATGGGACTGTAAACGATCGCAAATCAGTGTATGCTCTTTTATTTATTTATTCATACTACCAAATGCAATTTTATGAATTTGGTAAGTGATTATTAGATACCGGATTTATATGCATAAAAAATCCTCAAAATATGCTACTAAAAATGCTGTAATATGCTATAAAATATGTTTTTAAATATTCACTTAAAATTTTGTTTAAAATTATGTACAAATATGCGAAATGTATTATAAATGTAAAAATAAGTATTAAAAAAAGTATAAAAAAGCTTTTAAAATATTTTGTCGTCGACACTTGAATTCTATATTATTTGTCTATATATATATATATATATATAGATGTTGTATATGACTATAATATGAGATATGAGTATGTAATCTTATCTTTGAAAATAACGACCGGTCGAAATTTTATCAATATTATGTGGCTGTGAACGTGAAAATACGATGAAAACGAATATATGTGCTATTAATAATAATATGCATTGAATATGCATTTAAAAGGTAAAAACGTTGAAATATGCAAAATATGTAAAATAAAATTAGTGTTATTTTAATAAGAAATATTTAAATCGGGGACAATGCTCATCAGATTTCAAAAAGCTTATTCCAATACATATATGCATTTGCATATAAATCCGGTTCCTAGTTATTATAATACACCGTATACGCATCCATTACTAAGTATTTACCGGATCGCGCGTCGTTACGATTACATCGATTTGTCGATGTCAGCCGGAGAAAAATCCTACTACAATCAACATTGTACACAGAAACGCTGCGACGTGCTTCCGTGGCGATAGTGTCAAAAGCCATAGCACTAATACGGGTTTCATAACCGTTTGTCCGGCTCAAATGTTTATTCATACCTAGGAAAACATAAGTATTGCCACCCCTTTACATGTAAATAATACATAAACATTATTTTTTTTTTACTTAAGCAATATTAAAATACACTTAATTCTGAGTTAATTATATTTATTTACGTAAAGATAATAATTTATTAGATCAATACATTTGCATGCAAGTAAACCACTACTAATTTAAATAAAACAAAACAGTTTATAGAGTCTTATTTTTTATTACATATAATTTGATACGAGTAGGAGGTATTAAGATTGTTATATTTTTTTAAAAATGATCTATAGTTTAAAAATGTTAAATGCCGCCCTAGAAGTAGGTCTATGTCGTTTGCCTCTTGAGTTGGGCCTGGGCAGTGGTTAGATGCGAATGGGTACTCTGTCCGAGTGCGAAAAAAAAATACTACCCCTTAGTTCTTTGGACGGCAGTATGGTAGCATACGAGATGGTAGAATGCGCATGTCCGACTACTATTTTGCATTTGCAGTAGAAAACGTTTATAATGCCATTATATTAAAAGGACTAGTAAAAATCGGTCATAATAACTTGTCATTAAATCACGGATGACGAGAAAAAAAAATTTAAAAACTCGATTTTACATAATGAACTTCATTTAATAAACAAAATATACTGTTTCGGAAATATAATTGTGATGATGTACTTTTGAAAGTTATTTATTTTTATGAAATTTCAGTATTAAATTCACCAAGGAAATATAAATTTGTGTTTTTTTTTTTATAATTACAAAAAACTTAGTGTGTACCAGTAATATCCGGAAATTGTAAATTACAGTAATTGGTAATACTTTAAATTATATGATATATATATATATATATATAAAAAGGAAGTTATTATATAGATTAATATCTGATGGTTTGCAGTGGCAAATAAAAATATTCCTAGCTATAACCTCGTTCATTTAATTTTATGTTTTTTGAACTACAACAGCTAGCTGAATTTTCAAATCAATATGGAGATTTTTAACTTATTAATACTAATAATTTGTACAACGTTAATATGTTTATCAAAGGTAAAAGTATTATTAAAATAAATACATTTGTACATAATTAATACTGGAGAAGTAATTTTAAAATATTATATTAAAAATTAAAATAATAATACCTAATAATGATTTTTGGAACATATGCATTCAATCAGAATTAAATTACAAATCAAAATAACAATAATCTTTATTCTCAAATTCTTATTATAAGAGAATAATATTTTACATTTTATTAATACTTAGTTCTGTTGAATGCAGTTCCCTGAATAATCTTTATTATTTTTGGCATTCGATTATATTAAATTATTAATATTCAGTACTTAATTGTGCTTTTAACATTCAAGCTCTATTCAACATGTACAATTTTGTTCGTATAATAATAAACTTAAAATTGTGTAAGCTATTTGTTTTATAAAGTTGATGGAAACGTTTTTTTACACTCTTTTTAATTATAATATTAAATTAAAACTCTTATTTGCTTGTCTTATTCGCACTGAATATTAAACTATATAAATCATTATAATATATTTATAAATTAATCTTAATTTTTTTTATTTTTGTAAATCATTTTGTTTTTTATTTTAACAATATTTGTATTTAAAAATGAAAAACACATTAAAAAAATACAGTTTTATTTCATTGAAAATTATGGTTTGAATTTTATAACATGAAGTAGATAGTTTATTTTAAACACAAAATCATTTTGATGTCTTATTTTTTTTTTAGGGTCAAAAAATGACGAAAAGAAATCAGCCTAAATTCAATAGATATTTTGCAAATATTTCTCGAGAATGTTTTCAAGAAAATCGTGTCACTCCAGGTATCTACGACTGTTAATATTTAAATACATTATTATAATTAAAAATTTCACGTATATAATGCCATTGTTTTTTTGAATAGATTAATACAAATAAAATTAACTGATACTTATTTATATTAACCATGTTAACACTTATTTATATTTATTAAAATATAAAATTGTATTTATTAAATATAAAATAAATATCAAAATTATTAATACATTAACTTTGACGTCGGAATTCTGAAAGGATATAAAATTTGATACATTAAAAATTGTCTTTGAATCTTAGTTAATGTTTAAGAGTAACATTTATCAATTTGTGTTGTGTTTAGAAAGAGTGTTGGGCGTCTATTCTTTAAATTACAACGATCGAGAAGCAAAATGTTATGTAGCTTGCATGTTGCACCGTTTTAATGTGGTTTGTACAATTGTTATTTATTATTTTATTTGTATACTTATTTTTTACTCTTATGATAGTCGGATCTATTTTATATTGAATCAACAATTATAAAGAACGTAAATAAATACATTTATTTGTTTTTGTCTAATAACTATTTGTAATCTATATTGTTTATATACATAGAATAATTTTTTTATATAATTAATAATAATAAATCTTATTGTTAGTACTTTTTTAATTTAAAATTGAATTTATAAAAATAGTACAAATCGTATAAATTATCATTTAAATACTTGAAACTAGTTTAAAGATAATTATCAAATTAAATTATTTTTATTTTTTTAAATTTTTTTTCCTCTTTTTCATAATTATTTAAATTTTTTACTAAAAATCAATACTTATTAACTCTCTAACTTTTTTTAAACATATATTTTCTAATTTAATTTACCTTATTTTGTAATTGGTGTTTATAAAAGTTACATTTTATTTAGACCAACCGAAATGGTAGTTATAACGAGAAAGAATTAGAATTGTTAATGGTTAAACCTAATTCTAAAGAAACACCGATTAATATGAAAAGAGCCATAGAAATTTGCGAGAAGGAAGGTAATAATAAAATAATAATACACAATAATCAGGGCTTGAAACAGTTATCGGAATTATCGTTTACCGTGTAAGTGGTACAAACATTTTTTTGTGTTATGCCGGGTTCACACTATACCGTGACGTGTATTTTACCAGACCGCGTGCTTTAAAAATGTGTGATACCAATATCAGCGGCGCACACAGGATTTTTTTTCGGGGGAGGGGGGGTCAAGATAAAAATATAACACATTTTACAATTAACAAAATTATGCAAATCCTTAATATATTTTGACTTAAATTATAGCATTGATCATAGAATAGACTATTCTATAATCAGTGCTCTGATTGGGGGGAGTGCACAGGGGGACGGAGCTCCTCTACTATTTTTTTTTTTATTTATTTGCGTACCCCAACTAAATTTTTTCACCGGAACGGGGGACGCCACGTTCATCCTAATTGATGTCCAAAATAATTTTTATAGGTGCTGAGAATTTCTGTGTCAATTTTTGAAAGACAATTATAGGTTCCTTTATTTTTCCGAAATCCACATTCCTCTGGTATTAGATATTCAATTATTTCTAAAAACCATGTTAATCTTGTATTTACTATTTTTTCTAATAATTTGCACAATATATTTAAGAGTGAGATAGGGCGACAACCTTCTGCAGTAAATTTGTTTTTACTTGCCTTGTTGATTGGAATAATTATACTATTTCTCCAATTTCGGGGAAATATGTTATGGTTCCAAATCATGTTATATATCTGTAAGAGAGTTTGGAGCATAGAGTTGGTGAAATGGTGGATGAAACTGTATGGAATGTTGTCTGGACCTGGACTTTTGCTTTTGCATTTATTAAGCGTGTGGAGGAGCTTTTCCATCGTTAATGGAGAGTTTATTTGTGTTTGGAGTGCGTCTGAGCTGGATATTTTGAAAGATGACGGATATAATTTTTGAGTTTTTATTATTTATGAGGAAGTTTGGGTTCAGATTTTTATCACCTGAGATTTTTTCAAAGTATTCTCCGAATTTTGAAGCTATAACCGAAGAGTTTGTGTTGAACTTAGAGTCAATGGTGAGGTATATGTTGTTTGTGTTTTTTTGACCTTGTAGACTACGAATATTTTTTCACATTAGTGATGAGTCTGCTTGATTGCCTAGGTTAGCTGTGAAGTTTTGCTAAGATATGGTTTTACTGCTTTTAACGAGAAATCTGGTTTTGGCTCTGAATTATTTTAACTTGATGTGGTTTTCTAATAGATTGGATCGTTGGAATTTTTTTAGTGCCTTATTTTTAAGTTTTATACTATCTTTAATCTTAGTGTTCCATTAAGGGACTTTGTTTTTGTTGTTGTATGGTTTGGCATAGCACGTTTTTTTTTTTTTGCTGCTTGTATAATCCTAATAGTAAACAAAAATACTATTTCATCTATATTGATGTTGCTATTGTTTAGATCTATTGAATTGGTCTGTGTTTCTACGAGGTCTGCGAATGTATCCCAATTTGGCTTTGTAAGTTTCCATCTAGATTGGGAGAGTTTAACTTTATGTACCCTGGACATGAATTCTATAATTATTGGAGAAGATCACTGCTATTTATTTCGAGGAAGACTTGCCAATTTAGTCTTTGGGAGAGCGTGGCGGTTGAAAATGAAAGGTCTATTATGGTAAATTTACCGTTTATTGGGCTTAATTTTGTTTGATCCCCGTTGTTTAGTATTACTATGTTGTCGTCTTCAAGTATTTTTTCAACTTCTTGCATTTGTTTTTTGAGATCCCCAAATTAAATTATGGCTATTGAAGTCACCAACCAGAATGAACGGGTAAGGTAGTTGTTTTATTATGTTAAGAATGTCTCCGTATTTAAGGGTGTATGGTTAGGAAGGTAGATGTTGCATAGTGTGGTTTTGTATTCTAATGTAATTATAACTGCAACTACTTCTAGGTTAGGGTGACCATACGTCCCGTTTAAAACGAGATTGTCCCTTTTTTGATCATTATGTCCCGTTTTAATCCCGTTATTTCCTTATAATTAAATTATAGTTTATGAATTTTTGCAAAAGAATAAAATAAATTTATGAACCAAATATAAAACAGTTTATATTTAAAACTTGAAACCAAAGTTATAAATAACAGACTAAAATTTCCGTGGAACGAACGTCGAGTGGCGATGCCGACGAGCAATACAAATAGTAATAAGATAATCTAATTGTACCAATCTACTATAGAAGTAGTTAAATTAGCTATTAGGTAATAATGTATAATATTAATTCTATGAATCTATCGCGGATTGTTGCATGCGATAACGATAACCGATAGTTTCTGCGAATCACTTACGCACGCAACACGCGATACACAAGTCACCACTCTATGTCGTATAGCATATGCATTACGAACTAAAATATATAATACTATTTATAATTTATGATTATAATCAAAAAGACGAACAACAATATATGTCGAATAGTAACGTACGAACAGTAAAGCGATTGTGTTGATTATAGCCACTATGTATCGTCTTTTTTTTTTTAAATTTTGTGAGTTGGTGCATTATTTTTTTTTTTTTAAATGCCAAAGAGGAGATGTACATTCACTGTATCTTTACAGTCTGAATTTACTTTCCTAAAAAATTGTGAAGAAATTGGAAAATTGTTTTGTACGGTGTGCAAGGGAATATTTTCAATCGAATATGGAGGACGCTCTGATATCAAACAGCATATGGAAAAGTCATATTTTATTAAATAAGGACCAGCTGGCTTAACTAGTGAAGGGTTAAAAATTGCAGCAGAAGAGGGAATGTTTGCATTTCACACTATAGTACATAACTATTATTTTAGGTCAATGGATTATACTACTACTTTAACCCGTCATTGCTCGCGTGTGAGAATTTCCCTCACATAGTTTTTAAGTTGGTAACCACTGGCTTGTGGGTTGTTATATTTTTCCCAAATTCATAGTACCTTATGACGAAGTATTTAAAAATAGATTTATTAGTTGACTGGCACGATTACGTTCCGATAACGATACCTATTGCTTTCCGAAATCAACTAGTCGTATTTTGTGAGCGAATCCCTCGACGCGCGAGTAATAGCGTTTTAATTTCGCATTCATATTTTCGTTTTTACTTGTTTATTTTTTCATTCAATATTTTACTTTTTTTGCCGTTTATTTTATTTTTTCAAAAGTATGAGTGAGTTAATTAGTTCGTGGTTAAATGAAGATATGGAATCACTAAATGATTCGTGTAGTGATGATAGTGAAAATGATGATAATACAATATCTGTAGAACGACATGATGAGGAAAACTACGAGAGCGACGAACCTACTGAAAACACTGGCGATGAATCAGAACCTGACGATGAAGGTGAGAATGAATACTATTTGGGCAAGGATAAAATTACCAAATGGAAAAAAAATCCACCTCCACGCAATACCCGTACTGCTCATTGCAATTACTCATTTACCGGGAGTGAAACCTCATGCGCGAAATGCAAAAACAATTATAGAATCTTGGTCACTTTTCTTTCCTGACAACGTTATTCAAGAAATTGTTACTTGCACTAACATCTATTTGACCAAAATTAGAATAAATTATGGTAGGGAACGAGATGTCTTGGATACGAGTGTAGTAGAAATGCGAGCGTTGTTTGGTCTTTTGTACATAGCTGGTATGATGAAAAGTAATCATCTAAATTTGTCGGATCTTTGGTCAAATGATGGGTTATCGCCGAAGTATTTTAGAGTTGTTATGTCTAAAACGCGTTTTTATTTATTATTACGAGCACTAAGGTTTGATAATATAAATACTCGCAGTGAAAGGAAAAAATTTGATAAATTAGCACCTATTCGAACTATTTTTGATGAATTTGTTGATCGCTGTAAATTAAATTATACTATCGGGGAATATTGTACCATTGATGAGATGCTAGAAGGTTTCAGAGGGAAATGTAATTTTCGGCAATATATTCCTAACAAACCTAACAAGTATGGTATAAAAATATTTTCACTCGTAGATGCTAGTTTATTTTACACAACAAATATGGAGGTTTACGTAGGAAAACAACCTAATGGTCCTTATAATCAAGATAATAGTGCATCAAGTATTGTCAAGAGAATGATCTCTCCAATTTCCAAAACGGGTAGGAACTTGTCCATTAATAATTGGTTTACATCTGTTCCATTGGCCGTTGACCTGTTACAAAATCATAAAATTACTATGGTTGGGACAATTAGAAAAAATAAAAGAGAAATACCTCCTATTTCTTTGAATACAAAAAAACGAGAAGTGAATAGTAGTAAATTTGGATATAGTAAAGAATATTTATTAGTATCATACGTACCAAAAAAAAATAAAAATGTACTGATGTTGTCAACAATGCACAAACAAGGAGATATTGACGTAGAGAGCGAAGAACAACGTAAGCCTGAAGTAATTACTTTTTATAACCTTACCAAAGGAGGAGTCGACGTTGTTGACGAATTAAAAGGTGAATATTCCGTAGCGAAGATTAGTTGTAGATGGCCTCTTACCATATTTTTTTCTCTTATGAACATTGCTGGTATAAATAGCCAAATTATTTATAAAGCCAACACTGATACTACTATAAGTAGACGTCGATTTTTAAAATCTCTTGGGCAAGATCTTTGTAAACCATTTATGGTACAACGACTGAATTGTAAAAATTTGTCTTTTGATCTTCGAAAACAAATAAATCGTTTCACCGGTCAAATCTCCACACCAACTCAAGAGGACCCAAGACCTACAGAAAGAATTAAATGTGCTTACTGTCCTGCAAGGAAAAATCGATATACCGTGGTAAGTAGAAACACTACTAAGCTCAAATATATATACAATTCTTATTTTATATTTTATACCTAGGTAAAATGTGCAAGCTGCTCTGTGCCATTATGTAAAGAACACACATTAGCCCTATGCAGTTTGTGCAATGAAAACACCGAAGATTTAGATGATGAGTTTAAGTTTGTAAATGAATTCATTCATACATAATACATTTTAATTATT